GTTACATTGGCATTCGGTGGTGAGTATAAATAAACTAAAATTCACACACATATCTTTGACATGTAAACCTCGCCGAATTAAATAACCCACAAGCTCAAAATCAATTCAAAATCCTGCACTGTAAATAGAGCGGCCATGACAGGAAGTAATTGGCGTTTGATTTACTAGGGGACACAACTAAAGCTTGACTGTAAATTATAGTGTTATTTACAGTCCAGCTTTAGTTGTGTCCCCTAGTTAATCAAACATCATTACAGTAATGGCTACCTGTTTTACACTACATTCATGATTTCTAATTTTCTTTCGAAAGTTTTTCCTTTCTTTTAAATATAATTAATATTATTTGTGAATATAATATATGTTTACATCATTGAATGGTTTTAGGAAAAGATAATGTCGATATTCATTGAACAGTAAGCAAAAAAAATCAGCGTTATATATATATGCAGCGGGTGGGGTAATGCGGTAATTTTGCAATGAGCGTTCTAATGAGAGCCTCGTTAGAACGCGGTGTTGAGACATTGGACCCCAACATGAGCGTTTTAATGAGGCTGAAGTGTATTGGACTTCATAAGATATGAAATTAACAAGTGTGACCTTGACCTTTGACCTGGAGACCTGGATCATGCATAAAGCAGTACATATCATGGTGGTGAACATTTCCATAAAGTATTATAAAAATTCTTCCATACATGTAGGAGATATGCTCCAGACAAAATCTGGATATTTCACCATCTTTAGTGACCTTGACCTTGCATATATTGACCTAAAGTACATGTGTCACAGCCGTAGTCATGATAATGACCATTTGTGTTACAATCCCTCAATAAATGATGATTAAATCGTCCCTATACACATCTTCATATTTTTATCTAAACTTTGACCTCAATGTGTGCCCTTGACCTTGGCTGCAGGGACCTGAATTTTGTGCGCGACACTCCGTCACACAATGGTGAACATTTGTGCCAAGTTATATTGAAATCCCTCTATGCATGTGGAAGTTTTGCTCCGGACAAGGGTTTTTCAATGAGCTCTAAGTGTGACCTTGACCTTTGACCTAGAGACCTAGTTCATGTGTGTGACATGGCTTCTCATATTGTTTAAGATTCAAAGTCTGAGACATGGGTACATATACATTTAGTTATACACTGTATTGGACTTCATAAGATATGAAATTAACTTCTTTGCTATTAAGACCATTAAATCACAATTAAAGGGAGACACAGGCAAAATTTTCATTTCTTCGTTTTGATTTCTTTATTCATTATTCTGCAAATGTCTTAAAAATGAAAACATAAGACAGACACATGAACAAAATTTGTTTTCCTTATAAAGAATAATATGGTTGTTTCTTAACTTGACCCACGTGGGTCAGGTTAGAGATTGTTAAGATGTCAGAATAGTTGTCACAGTGAATTCTGGAAACATTTAAGAACAGCTCAAATGAATGATTTAGGTTTCTTTCAATCATATAATATCCACAATATCTGTTATTGTAACTTCCAGGGTTTGTTCAAATCACATGACTAGTTTAAAAAATACTTAGTGATTCAGTCTGTGTCTACATTTTGTTCAACAATTCATATAGATATATTTACTCTTCAAACCCAAAATATATAGAATATATACAGAAATTCATGCTGGGACTTTAACAAATGTCATTTTAGCGTGATTTGAGTACATAAGATATAATTTTGTCATTTATTTGCATGTCAGTATACCTTTAAGACCACTTTGAGTCAGTTTCAACAGTGGCCTTAATAGAGAGAATTCACAGTATTGTAAAAGATAATCAAAACAGGAGTCTTTGAGAGGACAGTGTCCTTGACTATTCTCAGTGCTTGATAGTTAAACAAGAGCCTGGATAATGTAATAATTAACACAGAGGAAATTTTCATTCTCAAAAATACAAATAATGTACTGACATAATTATGAGTCTTGGATATTTACCCAGAAAAAATTGTGAAGTTTACAAAAGGCCTTATTTTATTCAATTTTACCTTAAGTTTTTAAAGAATAATGTTGCATGCAATACTTAAACAAAAAAGTTCAAAACGGGCCATAATTCTGTCAAAACCCATGTTCGAATTATGGACCTTGGACAATCTATGATTGTGTGAAGTTTAATTGACATGTCTTTTATATTTGAGAAGTTATAATTCAGCCAATTATAATAAACTTAAAAGAAAAAATTCCGAAAATGCAAAGCTTTTTTATATAGAAACACTTATTGACCACACAAAACCCATATATTAACATGTATTTATATATAAGAGGGCGAGTCAACAAGAGCGATCAGTAATCACATGTGTAGCCTCATGATGGCCAATTTCATGTTGGGACAAAGTTTGTGACAGACGGACAGACAGACGGACAGTGCACAACAAGACTTGGAACTGATCATTCCTGTAAAGTTTGGATAAAATTGCACCAGTAGTTTATGAGATGTAGTCCAGACAAGCTTTTGTGTATCTGGCAACACACAGAAAAAACACCTTTTTATCAAAGGGCCATAACTTGGCCAAAAATCATTCAACCGGAAAACCCGTGCAATATGCGCAAGGACTTGAGCTACAGATCAATCCTGTAAAGTTTCATTGAAATTGCTTTAGTGGTATAAGAGAAGTAGTCCGGACAAACTTTAAAAATAAAAATTATTAAAGGGCCATAACTCAAACAAAAATCATTGAACCGGAAAATGCTGACAATATGCACAACTAGACTCGGTACAGATCATTCCTGTAAAGTTTGGATGAAATTGCACCTGTAGTTTATGAGGAGTAGTCCGGACAAGCTTTTGTGTATCTGGCAACACACAGAAAAAGGAACCTTTTTATCAAAGGGCCATAACTCAGCCAAAAATCATTCAACCGGAAAACCCTTGCAATATGCCCAAGGACTTGAGCTACAGATCAATCCTGTAAAGTTTCATTGAAATTGCATTAGTGGTATAAGAGAAGTAGTTCGGACAAACTTTAAAATTAAAAATTATTAAAGGGCCATAACTTTGACAAAAATCATTGAACTGGAAAATGCTGACAAAATGCACAACTATACTTGGTACTGATCATTCTTGTAAAGTTTGGATGAAATTGCACCAGTAGTTTATGAGGAGTAGTCCGGACAAGTTTTGTGACGGACGGACGTACCAAAATTTGATGTTTATGAGGCAAATGAGCTCATAAACACCACCTGGACCAACGTCCATAAGCAAAATAAGCTCATAAAAACAAAAAAAAACTCTTAATTTTATATTTTATGAGTTTATGTTCTTTATTTAACTACTGAATGAAGCTCATAATAATCAAATGTTGGCTCGGACAGACAGACGGACAGACAGACAGACAGACGACGGAGAAGTGATCCCTATATGTCGCCACTACTCCGTAGAGGCGACACAATAAATAGCCTAACCTATTTCGGGTTGAAATCTACCACTTCTTTTTCAATATAATTTCCCAGGCCTACCCACTGACGACTCTGGGATTTATTTTTTAGTTCATTATAATGCACCCAAGTCTCATCCACAGTAACTTGACGTGAAAGGAATTCATCTTTTGACCTCAAACGCTTCAACAACCCACTGAATATTGATGCTCTCATTGCCATTTGTTTCTTGCTAATGGATTTTGGAACCCAACCGGCTGGGCTATAAGTTTGCACATCCCTTAACGATCAAGCAAAATTGTTGAAATGCTGCCATGTGAAATGCCTAATGCCTGTGCTATTTCTTCAACCTGAATTCGTCTATCTGAGTATACCAGATCTCTGACTTTATGACACATTTCTTTGTCAGCGACATCCACTGGGACTCCAGACCTGGCTCCATCTTCTAAAGACTTTCAATCGCATTTAAACTCCCAAACCCAGAATTTAACTTGCGAATAAGATGGTGCAGAACACCCATACACATCAACTAACTCAGCATGTATGTCCTTGTACCAAATTACAGCACGGTATTCCACTTTTGATGAAAAGCTTGATTTTACATCACTAGCCATGTTTAACATTCAATATCTGACAAACAAATGACTGTGTGTAATCATATGCATGTGTAATTTTTGTAACCAGTTAAAGTACATGTATTGAAACAATATGTGAAAATTGTGGATGTCTCGGTTGATCAGAGATGTGTTAGGCTGGTTATTTATTGACTGACCCTCATATATAGTAAACCAGAGTAACTGTTGTATTCACAATAGTTTTTTGTTTTCACAGTAAAATCAGTATTACAATCCCTAGAATAATATTATGGTGTTCTCCTTCTTTTAATTCATTTTAAAGAATTCTCTCACAATCGGTACAGTTTATTCGGACAGAATAAAAAAATTTCTGATTTTCTTAACATTACAGCAGTCAATTCAATGCAATAACTGTCAGAAAGTTTTTAGAAAAAAGCATTTTATATGATCATGTCACATAATGTAATCAATTCAAACATAATATCAATTTTCTCAAATAATGATAGCACTGACTAAAATACTGCCACATTTGACAAACAAAAGCTACAGCACCTGGCGGGGAAAGGCTTGACTTTTTTACTTTTTCTTAAAGCAAACAAATAAACAGTTTAAACAAATCTGAAAGCCTTGTTATATCCAAGTTTAAATCAAATCTGTACATAACTTACAAAATTATGACAGTATATTGTAAATTTCAACAATTTGACCTTGAAGGTCAAGGTCATTTATGGATGAAGGTCAAGGTTAGTCTGGTCTACTATAAGGTCTTGTCCCAAGGGTTATTGTGGCCAAGTATGAAGACAATGCACCAAGAACTTAAAAAGATCAAGGTACAAGTTTGCGGACAGCAACGGCAATGGCTGTCATGACTGTTATAATACCTCTGGGTTTTTTTTTTTTTCAAAAAAAAGTCGAGCTAAAAATGATCAAAAATAGGTAAACTCTTACAGGCTAAAGAGGGCGTCAGAACAACTACCGAATTATTATGGTTATACCTAACAGAAGCCGATATTTACAGATTCATTTGGGGTAACCAATCCTTAAAATTAGACAAAAAACAGTGGTCTTACCTTGCTTGCCTCTTCTTTCCCACTTTGTAACCAGGCAACAACAGCAGTGAGGACATCGTCAGGAAGTTTGCGTATAATCTGTTGCTTATTGTCACACAGTTCTAATGCCAATTTTAAATCGTCTACAAGTTTTATGATACGTGCCTCAGTTACGTTACTACGATGTTTTAAAGTGTTCTCCGGAGTTGATGTTAAAGATGCAAACCCATTACTACCACTACTGCTGTCAAACTTTGTGCCTTAAAAACAAAATATATGAAAAATGAAAATATCAAAATGATTTTAAATATTTTGAATTATCAAGAAGGGAGAAGTTAATTACAGAGCTAGTGCAACCTTGACCATTGACCTTATAACCATTAAAAGAAGCAGTCTTTGTAACACAATCATTACGTTTTTCTTTTGTCCGCCCTTAGGTCAATAGGGAAAGCATAAGATTTGTAATTTATCCTTGGGCAAGGCAACATTTCTATGTGACATTGAGTGTAAAAGGTCATTTGCCTCTCACCAATGATTCAGAAATCGTGTGGGATTAGCTGGGAATCATGTTGAATAAGTCAGTCTGGATGAATTGGTAATTACCAGTTATAGATATCTGGGAAAGCTAGTTCCCTAGGTAGATGGACTGCCGAGAAGAAAATTGCTTTAAACTCAACATAAACTAGAACTGCTACTGTCATGGCGTGAATACCCCCTCATACCACTTTTACCTGGGGACCATATGCCGCTTTTCATGGAATAGCACTAACGTGTCACATTGAAGGTTCCATGATAACCGCCACAGAAACACATCTGCGGATGTTTCAAAATTCTAAATTTTACCAGTTCATGTTAAATGTTGAATTCTGCTTAAGCCAGTGCTAGGGGCGTGGACGGTAGTTTGCACTTGACAGTACCGTCCATGAGCATGCTCAATCAAACCTAGCCTACAACATTTTCAATTTTGGCATGTTGGGCTTTCTTTAGGGATTCTTTAGGGATTCTGCATGCTTCAAATGTGAAAATGTCAAAAACAATACACTGTAGACAGGCATTCTTAAGCATTTGAGCAGACAATGTTATTAAAATAAAAATCCCTGTGACCTTGACATTTGACACACTCACGTTCTAGTCATAAACAACCTCAATACCAAATATGAAAACTGTTGACCAAAGCATTCTTATGCAATTGAGCTGAAAAGCTTTTTTTAGTCAAGGCTCCTGTGACCTTGACCTTTGACCTAGTGACCTCAAAATCAATAGGGGTCACCTTATGGTAATGATCAACCTCCATGCCAAATATGAAGACTGTGGGTCAAAGGAATCTTAAGTTTATGGGCAGACAAGCTTTTTATCTTCAAGGTCCCTGTAACCTTAACCTTAGACCCAGTGACCTGAAAATCAATAGGGGTCATCTACTAATCATGACTAACCTCCATGCCAAATATGAAGACTGTGTGTCAAAGGAATCATAAGTTATTGGGCAGACAAGCTTTTTTTAGTCAAGGCCCCTGTGACCTTTGACATGGTGACCTCAAAATCAATATTGGTCATCTAATGGTCATGGCCAACCTCTATGCCAAATATGAAGACTGTGGGTCAAAAGAATCTTTAGTTATTGGGCTGACAAGCTTGTGTCAAGTTCCATGTGACCTTGACCTTTGACCTGGTGATCTCAAAATCAATAGGGATCATCTGCTAATCATGACCAATCTAAATACCAAATGTGAAGACTGTGTGTCAAAGGAATCTTATTAGTTATTGGGCCGACAAGGAAAAACCAACGGAAGCCCGACGGGGAGACAGACGGACGGCCGGAGGAACAAGCTGATTCCAGTATACCCCCTTACAACTTTGTTGTGCAGGGGTATAAAAACAAGTTTCCATTTTGCATCATTTCTTAATAGGCTGAATGGATTATGAATAATCCACATGAGGATTTGTTTCTTTATTTGTTTGGGTTTCTCTTCACACACCAACACAATATAGGTCATAATGGCGATGTTCCAGCTTTACTGGTGGAGAAAGACCTCAAGTGGCCTTCTGTACATTATTTCAGGCACAAACAGGCACCTGAATAGAACCATCGACATTCCGTAAGCTAGATAGATAGCTTTCTCACATGAAAGAATTCAAAGTCACTGTCCAGTTCGAACCCACATTGGTGAGGAGCAAACAGTTTGAAGTCAATGACTTTATCCACTCGGCCATGGACACCCCAATCCACCTGAGAAAAAGATTGGTGAAGTCTTTTGCTACAACAAGAAATCACACTTTAAAAAGACTAATGTTTCAAGACCATTTATTCAAAATGATATTATTACATCTTTTCAAACTAAAATTGTCTTTCTGCAAAATCATTTTTCTTTGTGGGGCAGTAATTATTGTGGTTTTCCTGGGAAGGTCAAACTTCAAATTGAAGATCAAACAAAACAAATTATTTCTTGGGATGATTCACAAATTTATAACCCACGGAAATTAAGCTGCAAAATTTCATTTCCACAAAAATCAAGTGAATTCACAATAATAAAGTATTTAATTGCTAAATTTCATAACTAATTTGAATAATTATAATTTGAAGTACAATATGTAATCACTACTGTTAATTTCTATGTTATTGAACATCAACGCACTGACACTGAGCAAAGTCTAAGGTTTTCAAGAAATCTTCTGAGTTTAAACTCAGAACTAAGATATTTGATCACAGAATGTGCATTGACCAATGAAATCTGAAATCTGAGACAGATCTAAAAACAGTTTTATAACCTCATGTAAATAGCCAAGCATTAAATTGGTTACAAATGTGGCAAATATGAACAAATTAGCTTTGATGTTATTCATTCAGTCAGGCTGTTACCTGGCTAAAATCACTTATGTGGCAAAAGAACTAGAAGAACAATGTGGTGGCCTGATAACTTAAATATTCATTTGAGCCGCGTCAAGACAAATCCAACATAATGGGTTTGCAACCAGAATGGATCCAGACCAGCCTGCGCATCCGCGCAGTCTGATCAGGATCCATGCTGTTCACTAACCAACCCTATTACAAGTAGAGAAACTGATAGTGAACAGCATGGATCCTGATGAGACTGTGTGGATGCGCAGGCTGGTCTGGATCCATGCTGGTCGCAAACACTCTATGTTGATTTTGTCGTGACTCGGCTCATTTGTCACTATACCTGTCATTATACAAAAGACTCTTATGTACCTGCAATAATTCCGTCCATCTGCTGTAAAGCAGCCGCCAAGATGTCACTTGCCTCCTGGCCGCTCACCTCCAGGTAGGAGGAGTTGTTGTTGTTATTTGAGCTCATTTTTCTTGCCAACAATTACATTACGAAAATATCAACACCTGAAAAAATAGTCATTTTTTAAATATCATACTTACACACAATCATTGAAATCCTTCAAAAATGTACATGCAAAAAACAATAATTTTCCCAAAAATTTGCTAATAAGGGCGCAAATCTCTTATCAGTAATGAGTCAACATAATTATATGTGAACTTTTTTCAATCTTCAAGATGGAGAATTTAGTTCCAAGAGAGGGAGATTTTTTAATTGACAATAGAGAAAGTAGGAAATTTTTTAAATGAAAAAAGAGGGAGATTTTTTTATTTTTTTAAAAACACAACCTATTCTAAGAAAAATATTTAAAAATTTGACAGGAGAAAGAGGGAGTCTCCAGCTCAAATTGGGAGAGTTCACATGTATGAGTCAATTGCTTGGAAAAATCTTATAAATTTTAAGCTGTCCTTTGACATGACATGATAACTTCTCAAATATAAACACAATCATTTGAAAGAAAAGTAATCAAGGGGAAACCAATTGCCTATTGGACATAATGACATATAAATTCTTCTTGAGTTTTTTGTTGTTTTTTTTTGTTCAATCTTTTTTCTTAGATCTCACACCCTATATAAGCAACCAATCAGCATTTTTTTACCCTACAAGTACAGTCTGAACAGAATGATCACAAGACATTTATCCCATAATTTGAAATACATTTATCCCATAATGTGAAATACATTTATCCCATAATGTGAAATACATTTATCCCATAATGTGAAATACATTTATCCCATAATGTGAAATACATTTATCCCATAATGTGAAATACATTTATCCCATAATGTGAAATACATTTATCCCATAATGTGAAATACATTTATCTCATAATGTGAAATACATTTATCTCATAATGTTATCCCATAATGTGAAATACATTTATCTCATAATGTGAAATACATTTACAGTACAGATAACGAGGAATATGCAAAATCCTCCGAGGATCGAGGAAAACACTCGCAACTCCGCAAGAGTATTTGTCCATAAAAACGAGTGACTCGGCGTGAGAAACGTGTGATGAGAGTGACTCCGAGACGAAAATGAAAGCGCGTGACTCCGAGAGAGAATTACCGCGTAACTCTGTGTCGGTGTCTAGCTGGTGTAAATAAATGCAAGTGCAATCTCATTTTATTTTTAATTTAATTCTTTAGATTACCATTCGAAAATAAAGATGATTTTTACGGTTGTTGTTTTCAATTTACCCTGAAACAATTGAAAGGTACATTTGATTAGAAAAAATCACTACCGTAAGCGTCATCAGTTCTCAAGTTTATTTTTATCCCGATTAATTAGGTCAGTAGCAATAACCACATGAACCCGAAATTCTATCAAGAACAAAAAACGATTTAAAAATCCATATAATAACGGCCCAACTTTTTTTTTATACTTCTTTAAGAAATTAATTAATTATATAAACTTCTTAATCTTAAATGTTTCTAAATGCATCAAATACCGATAACGTGCCGTTCTAATTTGTTTCAGGTGCCAAATATTGTGTTGTGTTTTCTTTTTTCAATGTGGAAAATGAGTTTCGATCTTCATAATATTTTAATCATTGATAACATGTGCACATCAAAAAAATTGACTTTCCCGACTTTTATAGTCTGATTTTATTGACCTGTCAATTATGAATACATTATAGCACTCATTTAAATATTCGATCCTACTTCGGTTTTGTCCGTTTATTTTACGAGAATTAATATGGAGTATATAGCTAACTTTTGGACAACTCCCACTAGCTTAATGTAGGTTCTCGTAACATCCGCAATAGCAAAGTCGGTTAAGTGATTACCTTATGTATGAAAGGTCCAAGGTTCGATCCCTTCTTTTGACATTTTTTTAGACGTCACTTATTTTTAGACTTATTTTTTCTTTATTTTTTAGTACATGTATATTATAATGAAAATGATCAAGCGCTTTCAGAATTTTCTACACAGATATGAAACAACTAAGAAACACTGACTTGTCACGTTTTGTATTGTATTTTACGGCACTGAAATGACATTTATTGATCTTAATCCGAATGAATTTTGAATATTAATTCTTCAACAATGTTATATACAAAAAGATAGAATTAACAAAAAAGTGCAAAACCTATTAAAACAGAGAGAACAAACTTAAAAAATGTTGAAAATAGTTATAAATTAGAAAAAAATGTCTGGACATACGCTGTCTCGATCTTACAACACGTAGGACATTTAGAAATTATATACCCATAGTTTACCCTATTGCGCTATAACGGTCAGTGTAACTAATGCATAGAAACTAGATTAATTTAATCATATCTTACTGCTTAAATTTCACGGAATTAACCGAACATTTATCGAATATTAATATATTCTGTGCATTGACCGTATAATCAGTATGGAATTGACAGGTTAATAAAATCAAACAATATATTGGTTTGTATAGTTTTAAAAATTGTCATGATGTGCATGTACGTTTCTTCATAATCCATTGTTTACATGTATTATAGTTACGTGTCAACCTGTCACATCCGCCGTTTTAATTAGAAGACACTTGATATATATATTTTTTTTGAGAATTAACATTAACTTAATCGTTTCTAAGCTGCATAAAAATTAGTAATATATTGTTGTAATTTTATTCCAAGAATATCTCCGAAAATCTGTTGGTCTCATTCTGTTATCAAAGTCATATGTAGATGTATGTTGATATTGGAATCAAAAGTAAATTGTCTTGTGATGATCATTAATAAATTAAGATTTTTGATTTTAATTTCAGGCATTATTGAGGAATTCAAGAGTTATAGAGGTGTTAACAAGTTGACAGAGGCCGTTCAACTTACCTAGCGCACTGCTCCCGTAATTCATTCACCTGTAATCAGCATTACAAAGATTGACAAAAAATAAAAACAGCAAAGAATAAAATGATTATTTTATTTGTCTTTTTGTTTTATTTGTTTATGGTTTGTACATCATCTATATCATGTCATTTTATAAAAATAAAAAACAGTTTTGACAAAGATTAAACTACTTCCGATTTCACGTACATGTACTGTTCATAGACGATAAAACAATATTTTTATAATAGCATATGAACATATTTGATCGTCACAGCAAGCGGGCATGCATTGTACATGTACGTATGTGGATTGAAAAAGACCGCCATGCCTTTAAAAAATCACTGCCAATCTCAATGTTCTTGTTTTATAATTCATGGGGTTTTATTTTTGAGACGACGCAGCGCCTGTTGTTTTCCCCCTGAAAACATCGGTAGAATTTCATAAATGAATTCCTTAATGTTGTCCTTTCTTGTGCTGCCAACATCGGTAGAATTGCCTAGCAGATCGAACTTCTTAACTCTGTTCTATGTTGTTCTGAAAGCAATAGTAAAATAAATTTAAACAATAATGTTAAAAGCAGGACTGTACATGCCGACATAGGGTGTCGCTGTTTTGGCTAGTGCATTGTATGGAATGATGTATTATATCTCATATTTCACGGATTTTTTATCAACCAACAATTAAAAGGAGACGTACATGTACTTCACATGGAAATCAGTTTGGTATCATTTATGTAACTGGTACAAATTTATCTAAAAGCCTGACTTAAAAGTATAAAATTACCTTTTTCAGAAGTTTACTTTCCAAGGCAGATGCATTTCACTGAAGAATACTTTGTAAACTGTCTTAAAGAAAATGTTGCTTTTTTTATTCAGTTCTGGTACAAAGTATAATTTCCCTTACGATAGTATGTCAATGGAATGAATCGACCTATTATTAAAGCACGTGGTTGTTTTGCCATGTATTTCATTTTTTTTTCTTCTTTTTTTGCTTACATAATAATTATAAATTTGTATAAACAATGCAAAAAAGAAGCTCATCTATATTTTCTTATTTTAGAATACTAAATTAAATAGGTTTTTGACACTGCGCGTTACGGGAATTGCGGGAAATCATCGGTTATTCTTTCCTTTAATTAATTAATGAATCAAGTGTGTCTACTTTCGTTTTCACTTGTGATACTTTACATCAACGAAGAATTTTCGACAACATTGTTATTTTGAATGAATAATACATGCGATGAAGGATTTTATTTTAGAGGTAGAGCATTATATTAATTAATAAACAAGATTGCATTTGTAAAAAATGCCATGCCACTGCATAAACACAACACTAAATAGTAATGTAGGAACACAATTTTTTTTGTTTCTATACAGATTGCCATAATGCATAGATCACTTACCTATCTGTTATTATCAGATTAGTACCTTCAGACAATAGGAATTTTAGTTTTTTACTTTATGACATAGTGACTGAAAATCAATGATCCCCAGGGGCGGGGCCAATTTTGACTCCAGGGCTTTAATTTGAATAATCTTGCTAGAGGTTTACTACACAATGTTTAATGCAAAACGTCTCACCTTTAGCCTTTGTCAATTCAAGAAGATGATTTTTTAAAGTTTTTACTATATACATGAAAGGAAAGCCTATGACCCCCGGGACGGGGCTATTTTTGACACTAGAGGCAAAATTTGAACAACTTTGGTAGACTACCTATAGATGATATCATATACCAAATATCAAAGCTCTAAGCCTTGTACCTTCAGACAATAAGACTTTTTAATTTTTAACTGTATGTACATAGTGAAAATCAATGACCCCCGGGGGTGGGGCCAATTTTGACCCCAGGGCTATAATTTGTACAATCTTGCTAGAGGTTCACTACACAATGTTTCATGCAAAATATCTAACCTCTAGCCTTTGTCAATTTAGAAGATGATTTTTTAAGTTTTTACTATATACATATACGGAAAACCTATGACCCCCGGGCGGGGCTAATTTTGACACTAGAGGCAAAATTTGAACAACTTTGGTAGACTACCTATAGATGATATCATATAACAAATATTAAAGCTCTAAGCCTTGTACCTTCAGACAATAAGATTTTTTTATTTTTTACTATATGTACATATTGAAAATCAATGACCCCCGGGGCGGGGCCAATTTTGACCCCAGGGCTATAATTTGTACAATCTTGCT